TTAACTCAAATATTTTCATACCTATATATTGTTCATACCCAAGTATCAACTCAGCCTTAGTTTAACTACTTCTCTGTGCTTTTAAGGCAAGTACTGTTTAAATTTTGATAAAAAATAAAGTGATTGCATTTCGTGTGCAACTTGTTTGTATATTGTATATTTGAACGTTCTCTGTAGGACATGCCCTGTAAAGAAAGCAAATGTCTGTGTTGACTCCTCTTTCCTCCTTTTTATTCATCATTTTAGATGTTCTAAAGCCTAAAAGTGTGACTCAGTCTGTAATAATTTACCTGTCAATGCCTGTTTCTCGCTTAAATAATTCATCAAACTTCAACATCTTGATCCTGGAAATGATGTAGACTTTCAGTTTGGGCTGTAGCTGCTTTAACAGCCTGAGGCTGTTGTAAACGTGGCCTCTCCCATCCCGCCTCATGCTGCTGCTCGGCCCCCAGAAGATGAACACGGTGTCCTGGCTTCCGTTGAACAGCAGCTCCTGTCTCCTCCTCAGCACCCTTTGGAGGCTGGAGTGAGCCACGACGCGCAGACTGGTACGACGGCCGACGTCCTGCTGGTAACCTGCGCTGGGAGCGTCGTTCATTCGAATAACACACTCTGAGCGGTCGATTTCTTCGCCCTTCGTGCTTCTGGTGAGCTGGCCAGAGCTGGTCACCAGGGCGCACGTTCTGCAGTGCATGTTCAGAGGCTGTAGGGGTTAAAGGTCAGAAAACACTGCAATTTTATTCACTGAGTATTGCTGCAAATAAAGTGCTTAGAGTTTTATTAAGATGAATGCTCTGTAAATAAATGTTTTTAATGAGCATCACAGGCAAAGACTAGAAAATGTAAAAGTGGAAACAGAAAAAACAAATCAGTGCGCAGCTATAAAAGTCGAACGAGTAAAAACAGTTCACCTTCTCACCGTCAGCAGCGAGAGGTAATTATTTGTTGCCAGAACAGACAGAACCAATCAAGCATCTGAAGCTGTTTTAAAGTTTATTATTCAGACTCATATCATTATGATTGACAGAACAGAGCTTATCTTTGTTTTCTTTCTGCATCAGCATCACACCTCTTTGCAGCGTTCACTGAAACCTGCATACATAAGTGAGAACATTTTCCATTGTGCTAAATTTGTTGCACTCCGAGTATGATGGGTAATTAATACAGGAGCTTTTTCACTACTTTGCTGTTATAGTTATAGAGTTGTTTCATCAGTTTGAGTTATTTGAACAATTCTGTGCCCATAAAGGCTTTCAGGGCTGGACACACATAAAAAGGAGACTTTGAACTGAATGATCTGACAGAAAACACCCTGAGACGTCTCACATGGATCTGTAAAGGAGCGCTGCATCGGCATTCTGAACTGTGCTCGGAGCTTCACACCCCATCAGGTTCAGAGTTAGGCCTGTGTGTGTGTTTGCACATACACACAGGTGAGATTACCACAACTACAAGCAATGTTTCTGTAGCTACTATTTATAATACACGCACACTATCTCCACGACCCCACTGAATGACTTCCTTATGTGGAGGTGGGTGTGCGAGCATCAGTGTCTGTGAAGAGTTCAGTGTTAAACAAAATGCAATAAAAACCACTTTATTTGTTGTTTTTGCAATAATCTACAGCATTTTAGCCACAAACCCACTCAGTCACCATCAATGTACACTCAGGAACACTTTTCCAACGCATTTCCCAGAAGAAACCATTTCTGTTGTGCACGTCTCTATAGACACCCTCCCCAAAAACAGGTAGGTTGAAGCAAATTACACACCTCAGTGCACAAACACTCTCTCTGCCTTAACTGGGAAAATCCTGAACAGCTATTTCCTCTCCCACAAAAAAAAAAAAAAAAAAGGGCTCAATCAATTCTCCCGAGGAGATATTTAGTGAGTTCAATAATTAGGGAACGTATTAAACACATAAAAAACTGAGATCCTATGGGTGGTGTCAGTTTCAGTTTAAAAGCCTGTGAAATACTAAAAACTCTTCTGAATGCGACTCCAGCTTCCTGAGCCTCTGAATGCTTGATGTTGCTGGGAAAATAGTCCAAGTAGATGCTGTATCAAATGGAAACAAGTCTTAAAGTAATAATAATAATACATTGTGACAAATTACTGGAAGATTCTGCTCGTGATTAACCTTAAATGACCGTAGCTGCCCTTTCATTTGGGAGTCTGCTGCTTCAAGACTGACATGAAGTTTGTACAAATATGATTTGTCATCATCTAAAAGTGCACGCAAATGTTAGAAGTTTTTCATCTAAATTTATCTATTTTAACTGGTGTTTTAAACTGCTGCAAAAGAAATAGAAGTTGAGGTCTTCTCTGATTGTTGGTCCCATTGGTTAAAGGGATAGTTCAGATCTTTTGAGGTTAGGCTTGGACAAACTATTTATTGTGTGAATGCTAATTTTACTGTTTTCCTGTTTATTTCATTTTTCTGTATGTTTTTTTTTAAATAATCTATCTACTTCTGCCGGCTCTATGCCATTTTAGCCATACATGTCTCAAATCAATCAGGTCATGGGCACTTTTGGTTTGAATAACTTTCACACTTTCCAAAATGTTCATCCATCCATCCATTTATCCATCCATCCATCCATCCATCCATCCATCCATCCATCCATCCATCCATC